GCCCTTCAGTCAATCCCACTTGTGTTTATCGGCCAGGCTGGCACAATAAACTATCTCAGACAGTGTGCCCAGAAGACCACCCTGGCCTCCAGAAAGCTGTCCTTCACAGTTTGGGACAGGCTGGTGGTCTATCCAGTTCCCGAGATGGTGCGGGCATAGGTACGGGCCTCACATGCCCAGGTGTCCTTGATGTGTCTGGCAGGGACCCCGGGGCCCAGTGCAGACCACCAGCGGGCTGTCAGCATGCGGCGTGGCACCTGTGTGGATGGCGGGGGTGGCTTCACTAGTGATTTGTGCAGCTCCAGCAGCCACGTCACAGGCTGGAAGGGACCCGGAAGGACAACCTTGACCCCCAGAAAGTTCCCCGTGGGGTCCTCTTAGTGCGGCTGGTAACCGCCTCCAGCTCTGGTGGGGGAGCAGGTACAGGAGCCACGGGACCAGACACTGCTTGGCTTGCTTCTGGAGGAAGTGAATCCAGGCCTCCAGAGAGTTCTTCGTGACGTGCCAGTGTTGAGCTGGTGACACTCAGCAATGACCACAGGGCTCCGGGCGCATTTTGAGAGCACAATCCTCCTCATCAGAGGTGGCCCAGAAAGGCAACCAAGAGCACCCAAGGTTCGCCACATGGTCCCATGGGCGAAGCTGCCAGTGGACATGCTGGGGAGCTCTCCAGCTCCAGTGGTTCTCCACATGGTCCTGAAGGGGGTGGTGGTGGTCCAGGAGGGTCACCCAGACCTCCAACAGGCTCTCCACATCTTGTCAGTGATGGGATCACTCAGATCGATCCAGTCCAAAGGCTGTGCAGAAGGCGGATCCATAGGACCAGGAGAGTCTCCCTGTGCTCCTGGGGCTGGACCTGGAGGCCCCAGCCCTGCAGCTGCTCCCCGCTGGGGCTGCTGAGGGAAGCACCGGCGATCTCGGGGCTCCAGGGTGTGGTGCCGGAGCAGGATCCACTCTGTCAGGTGAGTTTCGATCTGCTTCTAGAGGGGGCGCCCAGAGGACAAGCCAGACCTTCAGAAGGTTCTCCACACAGTGTGGGTGGGCTCGCTGGCAGTGGCCATGCTGGGAAAGGAAGGAGCCCACTCACCCGCCGGTTCCTCCTTTTGCGTCTAGAGGTTCGTGCCCCAAAGGCAACCCAGAGCAAAGAAAGGTTCTCTGCCTGGTGCCAGTGGTGAAGCTCCCGGTGAACTTGGCGGTCCTCTGCTGCCACGCCTGGGCCTGGTCCACTGTCGGTGCCATGACCGATGGGTTCCCATTAGCAGGCGGGAATCCTGTCACCGGCCTGTGCCCAGGCTGCTTTGTCTTCACTGGTGATGCCCAAGCGAGAGCCTGCTCCCGGGCAGCTCTTAGCGGCTTCTGCAGCTGGTCCAGCAAGGCTTTCGGGGCATCTGGAAGACGCCGTGTGGCATGGTGTCAAGGACAACCCGAGTGCTCTGCCTGGACTCCCCTCCTCGCCAGACAGGCCCTGCCTTGCCTCAAGAGGGGCTCCCGGAACACAGTCCAGGCCACCAGAGGGCTCTGGCCATGGGAACAGCGGTGAAGCTGCTGATGGACCTGTTTTGGGTTTACCAGAGGGCGAGGCCGGTGATTCGGGAGCCAGATCCAGGCTGTCCGTGCTGGGCCCGTGCTGAATCCCCAGCTGGACTCAGCGGAACTGGTCCAGCTTGCCACCCAGTGCTCTTGGCACGCTTCCCTCACCCAGACCCCCGGAAGGCACGCTCGCTGGTTCTGATGGTGGAGGTGCTGAGTGACTGGCTGGTGAGCAGGGCAGCCACACTGCGCCCGCAGGCGTGAGGGGGCTGTCGGTGAGCTTCTGCTCCCAGCAGGCTCCCTGCCAGGGACCGCTGGTGACACTTCTTCCTCTCTCACGGTTGTGAATCCAAGAGACTCCGAGGCGAGAAAGTGGAGTTCTGGGTAACACAGCCTCAGACAGTGCACTTGCTCCCTACAAAGCAAGGTGGGGGCCGTGGCAGAGTTTGCAAACAAAGATGGTTGCACCCCACCCCACCCGGAGTGTGAAATGGCCGGGGAGTGGGAGGCTCACTGGTGAGTGCACCCCACAGTCCAGGGAGATGGCTCCAAGCTCCCTTCCAGAGGCTCTCCAGGGGGTGTATGGGTGCGGCAGGGTTTGTAGCACAAGTCGTTTCTGCTGGAAGTGGACCAGGAGGCCTCACAAAACCCCAGCGGGCGAGGACGAGGCTGCTGCCCTGCTGCGGTGGCTGTTCAGGAGCAGGACCCCCATTTCTTGGGGCCATTCTGGAGCTGCTTCAGGACGACCCCCAGGCCCCCCTGCTGGTGCAGCTGCTGTCTCCAGGGTGGTGCCGGAACCGGACGGGGCTTGGTTTGGTTCCCGAGGTTGCTGGCCGTGGACTCCCTGGCGGTCCCTCCAGCGCCAGGCCCACAGCCCAGGTGGCAGCTCAGGAAGACAGTTGAGTCCCCAGGAGGCGCAGCACGTCGTGCTGCTGCGGTGCTGCCACCGCCAGGCCTGCTGGAGGTTTATGCAGTCCCAGGGGTGGTGCTGAAGGACAGTGCCCCCCTTCCCCGGGCTGCTTCTAGACCCACTTATGGAAGTGATCCAGGAAGACCCCAGAGAGCCACAGCAGGCTTTCCAGGTGGGTTCCCACGGTGAAGTTGGTGATGGCCTTCTTGGTTATCTGCTTTCTTGGCTCCACAAGGGGTGTAGGAGGTGAACCCACATCA